TATATTAATAAGTAAAAAGTTGTAGAAAAATAAACGTAATCCTATAATATTGGGTTAAGTAAAATGAAGGTTAAACGTTAAAATTTTAAAATATTCTTAAATACATGAAGGCTATTTGTTATGTTCCAAAGTAGTCCAACCTTTAAATTTCGTCTTTTCATAATGAATATTGTTTGTACTTTTCGAAATCGTTTAGTTTCTGTGCACTTATTTGCACTTTTCTTCACTATTTGTATATAAATATATGGCGGGACGATCGTTAAAAACGAATTCTGTCTTTTTTAATATATTTCGTTTATTAATGAATCAATTTTATTGTTCTTAGGCTCATTTTATAGGCAACTAAATATGCTTTCAGACAGACATAACAAAATGCCAGAAATGTAAAATTTAAGATGGCCGACCTAATTGAAGAAAAAAACGAGCCTAAAAGTAACCCATTTTAAGCTTGTTTTGCGTAATAATTATAAATTAAATATAAAATCTAATAACAAAAGTTAAATATCTAACCTATTTTCTTTATTTTAAGACCTCTCCGAGCACGATTGGTCCATTCAATCGTAAGATATAGACAATCAAAGTTGTCTAGTTTTTATGTTTTCATAGAAGCTTATAATAACACATCATTATGCTTTGCTGCTATTTTAGTTTTTGACCGATTTGGACTCAATGTGTCTGATTTGGTACGTATGTAAATGTACTTTCCGACCATTAAATTAAAATGGCGGAAATTTAAAATTCCAGGATGGCGAACCTAATTGAAATATGAGTCGATTTAGAGCTAGTTTATTTTTGGTAGATCTGGGAGCATAGTTAGTTGTTATCTATAACATGGAGCCTAAGAACAGTAAAATCGGTTTATTATTTAAAAATAAAAATAAAAACAAAATACAGTTTTTTATAGCCCATTCGGTAAAAATAAAACATAACAGTGTTTCACACATAACAATTTAATTTATTTTTTATTTTATTTCTGGAACGAGGTTGAACACTATGTTTTTATCGAGAAAGAAACTTCTTGATATCATGAGAAGTTCTGGAAAGAATGAAATTAATAGAATTTGCTCACAACACCGCTAGATACTTTTTTGAAAAGTACCCACGGTCAATATGCCTCCGACATTGCACAAATACTTTATACATGAGCCTGAAATAATATCTTCTGCTTTGTTACCTATAGACCAATTAACAGAGAAAACTAATGAGGACGTCTTTAATTCGTTTTTACTTAGTTTCGACCTTGTAATCACGAGCAAACGAAAATTAAAAAAGAAAAAACCTGCAGCACTTTCCTAAAAAGGCAGTAGATTTGTTTAAATCTGGACTCGTCCAGCTTCATAGCCATGGTATATTCATGACACTGATGATGACCGTGGAGACGATGAAGAAAATGTCTTATCACATTCTAAAGAGGATGAAATTTGATTACAATTATCATAGCTTTTCTAAATGAAATTATTATAATATTACATTTTTATTATCTGTATCTTTAACGTGTGGAGGGTGGATTACCCCCACGGCACTTAAGCCTCATTAGGTCCATGCCATTTTTATTATATTATATGTTAGTATTACAAAAGCAAATACATAGAGGGCTTAATAGAATATAAATTTTTATTATATTATATTCTTAATAGCTTTCTATTTTTTTTTTTTTTTAGCAAACAAACACTTTATAAGCCCTCTATGTATTTTTATTTGTAATACTAACACCTCTACAAAGCAATATTTAACTTACAAATTCATAAAGAGAGTCTGTGATTTATTGCCAACTTTGATGGCTTGTTGCCCCAGTGTGCGCCGTGAGAAATGTGTTTCATATAAATGCATGTGTTCAGACGTGAAGAGACCGTTCTCGGTCGCCTTTGCGTCGCCTCTGTTGTCTCCTGTCTCTTCTGTCTCCTGTCGCGCCTACCGAAATGGTACCTTTAGAGTGAATCTGCTACTTTGGAAGAACTCAAACGACTAATAGTGTATAAATGCAGTTTAATATTCCGTGCAAAGTTTCAAAACGTTTGACGTTGTATGGAAGTCGACGGAGAACATTTTGAACATCTAATTCGTTAATTGTCATGTAATGGGATGATACATTCTTTTAATTTAGTTAATTTTATCTACTTTATAATTAATAAAGTTTTCTATTGTTTTTGCATAATTCATCTTAATCAAGTATTTTTGCTGGAAAAAATTAAACCCATTAACCAAACATAGTTATGTCACTTTAATTAAATTAAAACTATTTTTACAAACAGTTACTATCGAAATAAAAGTGATCATATGCCTAAATAATCCATCGCAATACATTTCTAATAATGTGCCACACATATTTATAACCTATTTAAAATTAAGGGGTTAGAGAAGTGGAAGGGAGGAGATTGAAACAAGACAGATGTCTGTATTGTAAAAATGTGTCCCATTCGGAATAAAAATCGACCTGTTTGAGCATTTTCGTAAAAGCCAATAAATACTGCCAAATAACTGTTTTGTGAGGTTCACTCTGTATGTGGATTAAACAACTGGATACGTAATCCTTTTGAAGGATATATAACTTCGGATAGTTTCTTAACTTCACTAAAAGAGGAAAAGCTCATTGACTTATCCTCTGACAAAGCTGTTTTTAACGATCACTCTTTAATTGATCTTTGACTCAGTATAAGAAATAAATATCTTATTCTGGCGGAAAAAACCATTAAAGATTTATTTATTTTTTTGTGCAACATATCTATATGAAAAAAGATTTTCAACATATACTTACCTAAAAGATAAGTACAGAAACAGGTTCAATGCAAAATTTCATCTTAAGTCAAACTTTCATCAAACCAAATTTTAAATATCTGTTCTTCACCAAACACGCACACATATCCCACTAAGGGCTTATTCAATTTCAATATTGTTGTACTTATTAAAACTATTATTTGTTTAAAACAGTTTATTATTTATAATTTATTTACACTAAATATTAATTAACTTATTTTTATACTTAAGCACTATTTATATTTTACTTTTATGATCTAATTTATTTAATAATTCAAATGTCAATCTTCAACTGTGTCTCGCCTTCAACTTAACTTTTCCACTGCAATACAGCCCATTTTTATGAAATGGTGTACACTCTAGATTATTCTGGCTTACCACCATTTATTAGACTGGTGCCTCCGGCAATTTCTCGAATATGTATTTACCAAATTCGTCGTCATACTAGTGTATTCTATGAATGATTCACTAAAACTAGGCATAGGCGCATTTCTTTAAATATGTTTGACAATCGGACAAGTTGGGCCTTAAAAGTCCAAATAAGGGAGAGGGACTTAAAGGATTAGAGAATTACCGGACTGGTCGGAAATGACTGACATTACATTATCTTCTATTATTTGTAGGTTAAGCACTTTGGTTTTAATAATGTCTGTATGTAAATTTTTCACGATTATATTTTAATGAACTGTTAATATGGAAAATAAATTTTGAAGACAAGCCAATTTTATTGTTTTATATAGACCTATATCATTGTTAGCGATAATATCTAAGTTATTTGTAAAACTACTACTAAAACGACTAAAACCAATAATTAAAAATAAAAATCTGATCCCTTCGCACCAATTTGGTTTTAGAAACAAACACTTAAGTACACAGGATAGCCGATATCATCGAAAAATCTTACGAAGAAAATTATATATGCTCAGCTATATTTCTTTACGTAGCCCAAGCATTTGACAAGGTTTGGCACGCTGGCCTGATACGGAAACTTGAAAAAATGCTCCCTAGACAATATTTCGACATTTTACAATCATATCTAACAGGAAGAATGTTTAAAGTAAAGCAAGACGAGGCATACTCCGAAATAAAAGAAATTAAAGCAGCTGTCCCACAAGGCAGTGTGCTAAGACTGGTTCTTTACTTATTATACACCAGCGATATCCCTCAAAAACAATGTGTTAAAATAGCAACATTTGCGGATGACACTGCAATATTGTCGGAACTAATACAGAGACCTCAGAAAAACTTTAGGAAACCTGCAACAGAATTAATCGATGGACAAAACAGTGGAAAATAAAAATAAATCAAACTAAATGTTGATTTTACTCTTCGACCAAATGAACAAAAACAAATAAGAATAAACAATGACGTTATTCCGCATCACGATTCGGCCAAATACCTAGGAATGGACCTAGATGTAAGACTTAAATGAGAAGAGCACATAAAAAAAGCGTAAGGAACTTGAACTTAAATTCAAAAAATGTATTGGCTCCTAGGAAGAAAATCCAAATTGTGAAAGTACAACGAACTGCTGAATTATAAACCAATCTGGATTTATGACATACAACTATTGGGATGTGCCAGCAAGAGTAATATCAACATGATACAAGTTTTCCAAAAGAAAGTCCTAAGATGCATTGTTGGTTCTACAGGAACGATTATCTTCATAGAGACCTGAAGATGCCAACAATCAAAGAAGAAATAAAGAGGTTTGCTGCGAAACATGAGGGTCGACTCCACTCCCACGTCAACGAAGAAGCGTTGCAATTACTGGACAACTCTACTTTCAACAGAAGGCTCAAAAGGAAGAAGCCGTTTGAGCTAGTGCAGTAAACGTTAATATTAGTACTAGTGTTAAACAGTGTAATAAATCGTCACGCCAACTTGTGATGCTTTCCTATAGCAACAATTAAGACAGCCCAATGGGGACTTCTTAGATAAGTAATTAGTTTGTAAGATTTTAAGATTAAAATTGTAGGTTAGTCAGTAATGACTAGTAATAATACTCTAACAAAAAAAAATATACTATTGATTACAGGGGGTTCATCAATTTATTCCTTATTTTATAAAAGGGATTCGAAATGAAAAAAAGTTTAGGAACCGCTGATCTAGGCTATTCCAAAACGAAACGCATATTTTTCTTCTTCATGTGCAATATTAACAATTCTATTTGCAACATTGATACAATCGATATAATATACTGGAAACATTTTAGAAATATTCGTACATAATGTTTTATAACTTACCCAAGTCTATATTTTCATTATTCTTAATATAAGCATTAATAGCAGTATTGGTATTCCGCCCAATTTGTCTTACTGTACTGCCGGAAACTTTATCCAAGTGGTCCTTTCCAACAATTTTTTGTAGAAAACAGTTTCCATCTTTAAAATTTGCTATTTCCTTCATCTTTTTCAAATCTTTGTTCAGTAAAGAAATTCGTATTTTTATCAAAAAAATAACATGCCAATAAAAAGCTTCCTTCATGATAATAATGGTATAGAGTACGTAGAAGGCGAAATAATATCTTAGGTAGTAAATGGGTGTCATACCCCTTCTGCTCATTTTTAAAAACCAGGTAGCTATATCGAATGTCATAAGAAACGATACGGCACCAACTATTGTTGATAGAAAGATTATTGAAGCCTTCCTAGTGCGTTTTGAATTTTTGAAAGGAATTATGCTGTCTGCCTAAAATTTGGATTTATTTTAACTCCGCACTAGATATAATTATATTCCTTCATTACTGTTAATGCACAATATACAGGATGTCCCAGCTTTTATTAGACATACCTTGACTATTATAATAATTATCAGAATGAAATGAAATTTAGATGGGAGCTATAATAGTGACATGTGGATAACTTAAATGAGCATTTTCGTATATCAAGAACTTTTGGTTATTCCGGAAGTGACCATCAGTTTTGTTATTTCCAATAGGACACTATATATTTGAACATTTCTGAATTCTATGATCCATTCTACGCATTTTTTATATGATATGTCGTAACTGTTTCTGAAAAATGCTAGGTTATACAGACGTATGATTCTTGTTCAAAAATAAAGGGCAAAAATAATACAGTTTATTGATTTTAATAAAAAGAGAATACCTGATTATTATAATAAATATTTTTTTTTCCTTTTCAACACAAGATTCAAATCGTTTTTGGAGTTCCCTTGTCTTATTTTATTTTTAGGATCATTCAAATCAATTGGTTTGGATGTATAGACCATATTTTTTGAGATGGCTCCATAAAAAAAATCTAGAGGGGCCAAATCAGGAGAACGCGCTTGCTAACTTATAGGCACCTCATTTCCAATCCATTTATTAGAAAATCTCATATCCAGATAATTTGTGACAATTCTATTATTACGTGGTGAGGTACCGTAGTGTTACTAGTACATTGTTGCGCAGTCGCCAAGAGGAACGTCTTCTAGAAGACGGGAAGGGCAGTTTTGATGGAAATGTAAGTACCTTACTCCATTTAACGTGTCATCAAAAATAGGGACCTATTAGACGTCCAAAAATTGATGCCCTATACTGTTTGGAAACGAGTTTCTCTGGCCAAAGTAGTGAGAAGAGTGGCGATTTACCTTTCCAATCATCCCATTGTTGTAAAACCTTGAATCATCACCATATAAGATTTTCTCCAAAAACGTAGGATCCTCAAAAAGGATAACTTGCACAAGATATATAAATTGTAAATTCGCTCGTAGTCGGTGGGACGACGTGCTTGAACAAGAAATATAGGGATAGTATTTTTCTGATTTGAAGATTCTATGTACAGTACTTTTGCTAATTTCCATTTCTCTAACGAAACTTTTTAGGTTTATATTTGCTTAGGCCAATTGGTTTTTCGAAATTTCTTCATTTCTTCCAGATGCCTCTGATATGAATATTTTATTGAATTTGGAAAAGAACCAGTTCGCATTTTTGACTCAATTAAGGGAAAAGTATACGCTGCAGGTATCCGATGATTGGGAAACTGTTGCTGATGCACTCTTCTTGCATGAAGCCTATTATTATGACACTCACCGTATAAAAGTAACATAGCAACACATTCATTTGGCGTGAAAGTAAAAAGCATTGTATTTTGAGTCGTTACCACTAAATATAAAAAAATTAGTTGTCAATAGCGATCCAAATAAGATCGTAATTTAGACAAAATAAAGTCAATTAGATATATGTAGATGGGTAGCACAGAACATATATACATAAAAGCATTGCGCAGCGAGGAAACTACTGAAGGAGTTTAAGGTTTTTTGTTATAAAATGTATACATATTAAGTGTAACTTCCAAATGATCAGAAACGGTTAGAGATAGGTATAGGACATATTAAATAAAAAATGTTTAGAACTGATACGAGAATTCAGAATTCTTGAAATTTACAGTATGGCCTATTTAAAATAAAAAAATCATGGTCTCTTCTGGTATAACAGAAATCTCTTGATATTCGAAAATACGCTCATCAGATAGCAAACATGTCATTGTAGCACCCGTCTAAATTTCATTTAATGCTAATAATTATTATAAAAGTTACAGCCTGCCTAATAAATGCGGGGACACCCTGTATAAGTGTTCCTTGCCATATCGTACTCCACTGGCAAATGTGAATTAAATTATAAGCCATCAAAAAGTTACAGCCAATATCTTTTCAACTTTACTGATAACGATATTTTATCCGTTAATTTTACCTGATTAAGAGTAATCATAAGTTTCCAAAATTTCTTCACTTTTAAATGCAACGTTAAAGTTCCAAAAATTACGATAATGACGACAATGCTAAAATCCCCACCGGTAACAAACCTTGTTTTCTCGTCTGTCATACGTAATGAATGTTGCGGTTCACGTTTCATATCCAATGCTATACCGGTTATTGTCCATAACACTTAAAAAAATAAACAAGAATCAAAGATCATAAAAACATTTAATTAAATGCAATTAATACATTTTTTCGTAATTTTTGTTTTTTTGTTGCAGATTTTAGCATATTTTTTTATGTTTTTACGTATTTTTACGTATCTTTACGTATTTTTACGTATTTTTACGTATTTTTACGTATTTTTACGTATTTTTACGTATTTTTACGTATTTTTACGTATTTTTACGTATTTTTACGTATTTTTACGTATTTTTACGTATTTTTACGTATTTTTACGTATTTTTACGTATTTTTACGTATTTTTACGTATTTTTACGTATTTTTACGTATTTTTACGTATTTTTACGTATTTTTACGTATTTTTACGTATTTTTACGTATTTTTACGTATTTTTACGTATTTTTACGTATTTTTACGTATTTTTACGTATTTTTACGTATTTTTACGTATTTTTACGTATTTTTACGTATTTTTACGTATTTTTACGTATTTTTACGTATTTTTACGTATTTTTACGTATTTTTACGTATTTTTACGTATTTTTACGTATTTTTACGTATTTTTACGTATTTTTACGTATTTTTACGTATTTTTACGTATTTTTACGTTTTTTAACGTATTTTTAACGTATTTTTACGTATTTTTACGTATTTTTACGTATTTTTACGTATTTTCACGTATTTTTGTGTATTTTTACGTATTTTTACGTATTTTTACGTATTTTTACGTATTTTTACGTATTTTTACGTATTTTTACGTATTTTTACGTATTTTTACGTATTTTTACGTATTTTTACGTATTTTTACGTATTTTTACGTATTTTTACGTGTTTTTACGTATTTTTACATATTTTTACATCTTTTTACATATTTTTACATATTTACATATTTACCCAATCCCACAGATAACGAATAACTGTAGACTCCATATACGATAGACCATTTTAGGCGATAGTTATTACCATTTTTCTTATAACTTATGGGAAATAGGCCAAACAATCTTAAGGTAATGATTAGAGGTTGAATAACCTCGAACGTTGGGGTAGAAACGTAGAGATCCTCCACAATCATCTTCTGGATTTTCGAGAGACCAACCTGATAAAATTTAAAGGGTAATTCATAGTTGATTAAATTAATTATTAGTATTTTAAACAATATTATTATTTTTGCTTTATAATGAATATTATTCACTAAACGACCATTTTTATAAAGTGAAATATTCTCTAACCTCTAACAAATAAACCTATAGCCGTTTTTATTTTTTTAAATAATTGTTCTATTGTTTATATTTATTATATATGTATAGAGTGATTCTAAAATAGTTATACTGGATATAGTTCCCGTATAATTGAGAAAAATGAGATGAAATTTTTGTACTAAATCTATTAGCATTTGTATTAAAAATTTATGAATATCCTAATCCAATCAAACCTCATTTCAAAACATGATCGAAAGGAAGATCAAATAAATGAATCTATCTTTTCAGCAAATTTGGAATGGATCCAATCTGGTCTATGGTTCCAGGTATAGTGCCCTTGGATTCTCTATGGGACCAGCAAGAATATGAAGGAAGATTTCCTTCTCCTAACAGAATATGTATGAATTTTTCCCCTCGGATCTAAGTTTCCTAGTGTTCTCAAAGTTGACAATGCCTTGTAAGTATCCTCGTTAATATGTGTAGCTTGTGCTTGCTCAGACAAATACAGGTATCGTATTTGACAGATACAGGCATTGTATTTTAACTAGTTTTACTAATCCAGAAGTGTCTTACTGCTAACTTTTATACTGATGCTCAACTCTCTTTTGGCCTCTGCTACTGACACAGGTTCCCCATAAAAGGAAACTGTTCCCATTTTCTTGTGAGAATATCTGCAGTATCGTTTTACCCCTCACCCTGAACATACCTGGACCTATGTAAGGGTCATTACCTTTTATCGCCTAGCTCATTCAGTGTCTATAGGCATTTCAAGACTATGATTACAATTGAGCTCAGCATTTGATGCCTTCTTACCTATCGGATATAATGATACTTAATCTCTAACCTTTATTATTGTGTGACCTGCTTTTTGTGTCAGAAAAGATTGACTCATGGAATCATTCTTTGTTCTATGGTATTAAAGTTTCTTACAAAACTGTACTACATTTGAATACTTCGTCCTTAATCTTTATATGTATAGCTATCATTTTTGTCACATTCTCCAGTAGACTAGTTTAACTAAGAAAAATGGCTCATAAACCCAGACAAAATTGCTTCGACAGCGATTGAATTGGTATTCAACTTAACAGATGTTGCCTTTTATCATATCTGACAAAATTCGACCAATTCAAAATGGCGACCCATTTTCGAACTTCTGATTTCTTAATTTGATGATAACTTTAAATGAGTTTTTTATTTTTATAATTAGTACACAAATATGAATTAAATAAGTGATATTTGGCAAAAGTATGCATCTGGATTGTTTCAATCATTGTTTTCAATTACAACAAAATTATTATATACACTGATTTGGCTCTTCCCCTAAGCGGTCTTACAAGAATAATGGACCACTTTTAGTTTCCACTCTGGCGTTGGAAGCATATCAAACACTGCAGGGTAATAGAGTTTTCCTTAACAAATCTACTCATTTTTCAATTACAATAATTGATCTAGTAGTACGAACAAAAACTGTTACTTTATTACTGACTCTGTAGGTGGCCAACGTGCAAGTGGGACAAATGATTGATTGTAGAGAATCTCCTTTTTACCGCAATATTGTAGTAATATAGCTTTATGTACTGCAGGATCAGTATCAATTATTTTCCTTCCATCTGAAGAAAATACGTCTGCAGCCCTATATGTCCTCCATTAGTTTTTCCAGTTTTAATCTAAAATATTCTAGACGTTGGATCAGAACCAGTAAAAGCATATAAAAACAGCAACAAAATGTCTTAAATATCACGATCTAGTAAGACTTGAATTACAAGAATATCGTAGATAGGATTGGTAGATAATCCTCTTCTAGTGTCACTATGGATTCATTGAATTTTGTATGGTATAACATAAGAAATAACAAGTCTGAATTTTCGCCGTGATGGTAATTTGGGATGATGAGACTGCCGAATGAATGATATCTAAATCCCAATCATCTGTTGAACAGTTCAACTAATATTGCTGATTTGTATCATTTGCCATAAATGTTGTTCCTGTTCAAAACACTTCATATCAAAAGTGAAGTTCATGCACGCTGATGTAGGTACTCCGCATTAGAGATAGGAGCGAAATAATAAATATAAGAAGCAGTTTAAATTTAAGTCACCAAACCATGTTAAACGTTGGACAATTTTATTACTATGTCAGTAAGGCTTAGCGCTGAGCTCTTACGTAATCAGCTCAAAAATGGTCTGGAGATGCCTAGAACAATTGAGCGAGCTAGGCGAGAAAAATAGAGTTACTCTCACTTGGGTCCCGGGACATAACGAGGTACAGGGACATTGCAGATAGTCTTGCAAGGAAAGGGGTAGGGGTAGGACCTGAGCCGTTCTGCGGTATCAGCAGTAACATAATATTAGGAGAGTTTAAAAAAGAATTGGGCAGTAGAAGAACCGATAATTGGAACAATTTCTTATTGCCGAGACAGGCCAAGATACTTCTGGGTGAGTATAACCAGAAAAGATCGGAAGCCTGCATCTGCCTAAGCAAGAACAGGCTACGTATTGTAACAGGGATCCTTACCGGGCATTGCCGACTAAAAGAACACCGAAGTAAACTGAGAGTAGTAAAGGACAGTGAGTGCAGATTCTGTAAAAAGGAAGACGAAACCTCCATTTACATCCTAACTAAATGTGTAATACTCCAGAATCCAAGGGCACTATATATAGGATATCAAATAGAAGAGGGAAATTTACCTAACTTGAAGCCACTTCAAATCCTACACGTCCTTGAGAAAATAGGATTGGAAGGGTCGTTATAGGCATTGAGACATTTCCTTGGTACATTAGCGACAGAAGGGGGCACAATAATTCTTTTAGATCACAGTGTATTAACACCCCATTCCCAACATAACATAAGGTATGGTACCAAGATGAAGTAAATGATTGCGAGCAGAAATAATAAATTCTTAAAGGAAAAGTTGACCCAATTAAGAGGATCAGATTGACAACAATAGCAGATATATCACCAGGCTTCTAAGGCACGCTTTAAGTTAGGGATCCACCATCTAGAAGGCACTGATCATTGGCTAGAGTCATCGCACTTTTGCAGTACTCTATAAACTAAATAAGGCCTGTCCGTTTTTCTTAATAAAGTACGTGATTTAAATAATGTAGCCAGATAAAAAAATAGATTACGAGAGGATGTCCACAGGGATAGGTACTATCACCTCTACTGTGGAACATAGTCCTAGACACCCTCATCAGTTGCCTCAATAATGACAGTCTCTATACAGTAGCGTATGCAGATGACCTGGCAATTCTGCAAACAGGGAATTTTGAGAATATACTCCGTGAAAGAATGCAAGTAGCTCTCAACAGTGGTGTAAGGACCATTCACTGTCCATTAATCCCAAGAATACAGAAATTGTTCATTTCACAAGAAAAATGATGAACATGAAATTAAACACTCCAGAGCTCTTAAATACAAAACTAAACTTTGCAACAGAAGTACATAGGTCTCACCTTTGACAGCAAGTTAACTTGTAACTCACACCTAGAAAACAGAGTAAAAAAGTATACATTGCTTATGAACAATGCCGTCGGACCGTGGGGTGCACCTAAGGTCTCTCCCCCAAGGTCGTCGTATGGACTTACACGGCCGCCATAAAACCCAAAAATTGACAGCTATCCAAAAACTACAACAAACTCAGTGTCTCAAAATAACAAGGGCCATGAAAACCACATCAACCAGAGTCATGAAAGTAATCCTTAGTCCCTCTCCCCTTGATATTCACATTAATGCCTCCGCAAGGTTGGAATAGAACCTGATGGAGGATCTGGTTCGGCAAGACGTTGCTTTTGGCAGGAGGCGCTCG